TTGTTCTCTCTTTCTCTACTCAAAACTTTTTCCCTGACTTATGACAATCCCAGAGTCTTATCGCTCTAGAACGTAAGTATACAAGTTTTGCAAAAGATTTTAATATTTATCCCTGTCTAACTTATGATTTTATAAAGATCTCACTACGTTTTATATATTATGGAATTTATAATGTGTTCACTAAAAAGAGTGCTTTTACTTGTTTTACCGTATTTTTGGGTATTAATAAGATTATGAGCCAGAAAAAATCGGGGTGAATACCTTATCACAGTACCAGGTCAGGAGCACGTAGATTCAATTTATCGTTTACTTGCTTTATACGTTTACGATGAAAAACACTTAATTCCTTTTAGCTGTTTCCCTTTTTTTTTTTTGTAAAGAAACGTACTCATTTACTTTTTCTTAGTGTTAGGATTTAATATATGCACGTACTTCTTTTGCTAGTACAAGGGACATTGACGGAGTTGGCTTTTTTGTAAATGCTCGGGGACCCTAACCCGTTTTTTCTTTAACGAGAGGGGACTTGAACTTTTTAGCATAGTAGGGGCTTTTGTACCCAAGATATTATTACCTTGGGACCGCCATTTTTTTAATTCAAGGGGAGTGAGGTCGTTACACGTACAGGCTTGGTAACTTCCTCCAACCTAACCCCTTTGGTAAAATCAGGGAACGTTCACTTCGGGAGGCCGTGTTCCTGGTTAATGTTTTTTGCTCTTCTTCTTTTTTTGTGCGACCCTCTATTAAACGGGGGATAATGTCGGGGAAAATTGGAAAATTTACCGGGGTTGGCAAGTTCTTGTGACTCACCGCGTTTGTTGGTGGATACTACCGGTTTATTACTCCTATTTAAATCCTTTTCATTTCTACTAAGTAGAAGTGTAGCTAGTGGTTCGGTCACGCATTTATGGTTGCCACCCCCCCCGGTCGGCCAACGTGCGGGGGCCCGGGTCTCCGTCCGGGTTTCCCCGTTTCGGAGAAAAACCTTTACTTTCCTTCTTTGGCCTTTTTCTGATAATTTTTGACTGACTTTGGCGGGGGGTCTTTTGATGTGACGACGAAATAACAACAAAGGGGCGTTGTACAAAGATGATACCGGTTGCAGAGGATTGGACCCTTAACATTCAGAAATTCTGCCAAAATCAAAAAAGGGTTTTTAATCTTCAACTTGTCATAATGTTGACAACCCATGTCGGGAAATTTTTTACAAACAATTATTTTCCCCAATTAATCAAACAGGGACCAAAAGTGTAAGGGAGGGATAATATAGAACCCCATGTAGGTCGGTGTTTGAAAAATAACTCTCTCAGTGAACTGTCATAGAAAGGGGACCTAAAAGGGGTTAGATATAAAGATAGTTAAAACTTGGAAGATGAAGGGAGGGTACTTTTCATTACTGGAGTTACAACAAAAAGTGTTTATTAGTAAATAAGTTGTTTTTATTGTAATAACGGGTTTGGCTTTTCATTCAAGAGTTATTGCACGAAAAAAATTGGTATCGCCACGCGTGGTTTCTTGTGTCGGGTATGATTATTATTTGAAACCAAATAATCACATCTGAATACATACAATATAATGTAGACTTCCTATCTTACAATAAAAAAATTTAAGTACAAAAAATGTCGAAACGATTCTAAAGCACAACAAAAGAAAGTATGATTAATGGGATCCTGGTCGCACCTCCCCTAAAATTATCAGAGGAAGGGGCGACGGGACCCTCGCGGGAAACCTAGGGGTCGTTCTTCGACCAAACTAACCACCGGTCCTTTTTATTTTCAAGACCCCGGAGGAGACGAAACCGTGCGATGGAGGCGGGCTGGGCTGGTGCCTAATTTCGCCTCTATTTACCTACCTACTTACCTTACCTGTGAAAATTATAGCTTAACCATTTGTAGTGCTGTCTTTCCTATAGGGCAGTAATTCCATTTTTCGGATAAAACTTTAAACACTTAAGGTAAACTACAAGAGGGTAAGTGGGTTTAGGTGGACTTTGATAAAGAGGAGTTTGGGCATAAAATTGTAAGGAATATTAAGGTTTCTTTTAGTCATTTTTAATAGAAATTTTGATGTTCCCAGAAAGATAGTCGCACGTGGTAGGTCCCCACATTGTATATTTGGGTAGGTTGGTTAACCTAGGTTTAAATTAGTTTCCTCAATTCGTTAATGTAAACCTATGACGTTTTTCTCTTGCATAAAAAACCCTTTCTTCTTTACATTTCACTACAACAAAAATGTAACAACTATATAAATCTTTAGGTGCAGTGTATCAAGTCAAAAAAAACCGCCGTCAAAGGGAAAGGGGGACAACAGGATCTCAGAAGGACCAATCTTGATGGTCCGTTTTTCTCTATAACCCATTATAAATTCGGTTCGCTTGCAACATAATGTTACGGCAAAATACACCTTGACTTTTTGAAAGGTTTTCTCCTTTTCGGTTCTGTGAGCTTTTTTCATAATAAATAACAAACTAACGCGTAGTGGCCAAGAGCCGAAAAAGGACATACGCCCACCCCCCCATCAATCCATGCCGGTTGATCAAGTTTGATAGTCCTATACCCCCCACCCTAACCTTCCCTTATATTTTAAAGTGATTTTGAGTCCTTGAAAAGCCCTCTACAAATATAATGTATTATTATGATTATACTGACAGGTATCAGATCTTGCTGTGTAAAATACTCTTCCTGAGAGGTGTCACAGTGAATGTATTCCTGACAGCCACAGGTGATAAGAATCAAAGGTTCCCATAGAATTCCATCGAAAATGCATGTTGGTCATTTTTGACCCACTTATGGAAGATTGGGGTAGTAATACAAAAACTACAATTTCTTTAAATGTATAACATTTTAATTTAAAATTTGAATGGCATGATATCCAAAACATGTTTTTTGAGGAATAGCAATATCAAATGATAAAAAAATTCAATTACAAAGATACTTCAAGAAAACCACCTCACCGGGTCAAAAAAGACCCACTTATGCATCTAAGGGTTAAACCATTTATACCAGGGAAGTTCCACCGTTCCCTATTTACCTTTCTTGTAAAATCTATGGAACTATACATATACATATCTCTAAAGGCATTTTTTAAATGAATTGTTCTCTTCTTCTGAGCCGTACATCTTTACTTCAGCAGCACTTACAAACACCAAACATTTATTTTTCCATTCCTATCTATATTCTGAAGGTTTTTACAGAGAGTTTGACCATATATTATTCATAATGTAATTTATAAACCATTTTTTCCCCCCAGAAACATGGCAAAGATAGTTTTTATGGCTGTTGACACTTTTTTCTGATCCATCAAAAATTCCCGCTTAAAATCTTTGGTTGTTATACTGTAAGGCAAAAAAAAACATGACTTTTGGACCTGGCTTTATAACATTTTCCAGGTTTCAGTTCGAAAAATGTGCAAATATGCACCTATTCAATAAGATAATGCCTTATTTGTATATTTAAACATCAGATTTCTTAAGACATGTAATATAAAGAAACAATTATCTTAATTCAACTTGGGAAGAATCATGGTGATATCTATTAGTTTAATGTTTTACCCTATTTGCATATAGAGTGGTGCAGGAATTACGTATTTACCCAGAAGTAAGCTGCGCTTGGGTTCCCTCGACAACAAAGCAATGGGATTTCTCCATAGGATTTGGGAAAATAGCTCGAAATAAGATCTGTGGAAAACAAACCTGTTTGATAAATGCACGTTTTGTTCATCCGGATAATATCCACATGTCTACCCTACTTTATAATTTTCTAATCAGAAATCTAATCGCCGGAAGCAAAACACTAAAGTTATGCTATAAACTAACTACAGCAGGGTCGCACAGCTTCAACATCACGCCAACTTGATAGATATTCAAAAATACAGATTCAAAATGTTACAAATTTAAGCGTTTGTTTTAACAGTTTGCAAGAGCGCAGGACAGGTACTTGCTTTCAAGCAGAACAGGGGCAAACTAACTTAGCGGGAGTGTTCACGTGTTCGGCGTAATGACGTACAACGTCCTCGACAACTTCTGTAGTCCTATTCAGCCAGCTGTTAACAACCATCGTTTTTCAAACATGTAAACTCTTCAAAAATCAAATTCAAATGTATTTAATGTCGTAGAAGAAAACGTGATCCGTCTCTTAAATTTGTGTCAACCACAGACCTTATTTCCAGGTATTTTCCAATATCCTATGGAGAAATCCCATTGACTCTGAGATGAGGGAACCGGAGGTGGTAACATGCTAACTCACTGTCCCTTTAAGAAAATCATTTTTCCATAAAAGAATGCTTAAATTCACTTTAATGCAAAAAATAAGTTTTTCCTGTTACTTATTCAAACCCTGTACGCTCATAATGATTTAGGGTGGATTTACTTTGCTAATGATGTGATATTTCTCAGACATTGATGGGTGAGACGGGTGAACAGATGCTGATGGGGATGATTCCCCCCCCACCCCACCTGCCTTCATTGCAGCACGACCATAACTACTTGACGTGCCGTTGAAACATCTTTCAGACAAGTTGAAGTTGGATGACGTTTAAGGAAATGTAGCTGTCACAAGCCTTCAAATTATGGTGGATGAGGTAGCTGCGACAAAATGTGTG